CCCTTACCTGTCACTGCACTTGTCCCTGTGTCTGTCCCTATCCTTGTCCCCGACTCTGTCCCTGATCCTGATTGTGTCCCTGTCCTTGTCCCCAATCCTGTCTCTGATCCTGTCTTTGCCCCTGACTCTGTCCCTGTCTGATCCTGTCCCCACCCTTGTCCCTGTCTTTGTCCCCAGTCCTGGTTCTGCCACTGAACTTGTCCCTGATCCTGTCTCTGATCTTGTCCCTGTCCCCGACTCTGTCCCTGATCCTGTCCCCATCCTTGTCCTGATCCTGGCCCTGTCACTTCTCCCTGTCCCTGATCCTGAACTTGCCCCAGTCCTTCTGTCCCCAGCCCCATCCCCGTGTCCCTAAATCCCTGTGTCCCTGTCCCTGTGAAAACCATCCCAAAATTGGGAAATGTCCCCCACACTGGCCAAATTCACCCCAAAACTGGATCCAGTCACCCCAAACTGGGTCTGGTCACCCCAAACTGTGAAAACCATCCCAAAGCTGGGAAATTTCCCCTACACTGGACAAATCCACCCCAAAACCGGGCAAATCCACCCCAAAACCGGGCAAATCCACCCCAAAACTGGGAAAATTCCCCCAAACTGGGAAAATTCATTCCCAAATGGGGAAAATTCACCCCAAACTGGATCCAGTCACCCCAAACTGGGAAAATCCATCCCAAACCTGGGACATTTCCCCCAAAACTGGGCAAATCCACCCCAAAACTGGGCAAATTCACCCCAAACTGGATCCAGTCACCTCAAACTGGGTCTGGTCACCCCAAACTGTGAAAATCTATCCCAGAACTGAGAAATTCACCCCAAAACTGGACAAATTCACCCCAAAACTGACCAAATCCACCCCAAAACTGGGCAAGTCCAGCCCAAACTGGATCCGGTCACCCCCAAACTGGGAAATTTCATCCCCAAATGGGGCAAATTCACCCCAAACTGGATCCAGTCACCCCCAAACTGGGAGATTTCCCCCACACTGGCAAAATCCACCCCAAACTTGACCAAATTCACCCCAAACCATACGAATCCTCCCCAGCCCGGGGTATTTGGGTCTGGGGTCGCCCTGGGCACACCCAGGCCCCCATTTGGGGTCCCCTGATGGGAATTTCATCCCCCCCACCCCGAGTCACCCTCTGTCCCCACCCCTCTCTTGCTCAATTCCCGTTTCCTTCCCCATTCCCCGTCCCGGATATTGGGGAACCTCCGGCCTGAGTCACACCTGGGGTGTCACCAAAACCCCTCCGAGGTCCCCACGGGGAATTCCCAAGGGGAAGGACAAAAAGTCCCAGAGTTTCAGCCCAAACCTGAGGGTTTTGGGGTTTTTAAAATTTTTAAAAAGCTTTTTTAAAAATTTAAAAAAAACAATTTTTAAAAATTTTTTCCCACCCCAAACCATTCTGGGATGAGGGGGTTGATGGAAACCTCATCCCAATGATCCTGGGATCTCCATGGGATTGGTTTGGGGTGACTTTTCCTGGTTTGGGGGTGAATTTTCCCAGTTTGGGACGACTGGTTCCAGGTTTTTGGTGACTGGATCCAGTTTTGGGGTGAATTTTTCCAGTTTTGAGGTGAATTTTCCCAGTTTGAGGGAATTTTCCAAGTTTGGGATTACCAGTTCCAGTTTTTTGGTGACTAGATCCAGGTTTGGGGTGAATTTGCCCAGCTTGGAGTGACCAGTTACAGTTTTTGGGTTTCCTTGCCCCATTCTTGGGTGTCTGCCCCCAGTTTGGGGTGAATTTGTCCAGTTTTGGGGTGCTCAGACACATTTTGGGGTGACTGGGCCAAGTTTTGGGGTGAATTTCCCCAGTTTGGGGGTAACTGTATCCATTTTTGGGGTGAAATTTCCCGGTTTTGGGATTAATTTTCCCAGTTTTTGGATGATTTTTCTCAGTTTTGAGAGACTGAACCCAGACTGGGCTAAATTTTCCCAGTTTTGCTGTGAATTTGTCGAGTTTTGGGGTGACCAGACCCAGTTTGGGGTGACTGGATCCAACTTTTGGGATGTCAGTGCCCAACTTTGGGGTGAATTTGCCCACTTTGGGGTTTCTGTGCCAAGTTTGGAGTGAATTCACCCAGTTTTGGGCAAATTCACCCAGTTTGGAGCAAATTTGGAGAGTTCTGGGATTCACTGTCCAGTTTTGGGGTGAATTCTCCCATTTTTGGGATATCAGTGCCCAGTTTGGGGTTTTCTGTGCCCTTTTCTGAGGCACAGAACTTTTCCCATTTTTGGGGTGTCTGTGCCCAGTTTTGGGGTGTCAGTGCCCATTTTTAGGGTTCCAGCGCCCAGATTGGCATGAATTTATCCAGTCTGGGGTTTTCTGTGTCCATTTCTGGGACACAGAACTTCTCTCATTTTTGGGGTGTCAGCGCCCATTTTTGGGGTGTCAGCTTCCAGACTGGGGTGAATTTACCCAGTCTGGGGTTTTCTGTGCCCATTTCCGCGGCACAGAACTTCTCCTATTTTTGGGGTGTCTGTGCACACTTTTGAGGTTTCAAAGTTCATTTTGGGGTTTCAGTGCCCATTTTGGGCTTATCTGTGCCCATTTTTGGCGTGGCTGTGCCCATTTTTGGGGTTCCAGCACCCAGACTGGGTTGAATTCGCCCACTTTGGGGTTTTTAACCCCATTTTGGGGTGACCCCTGCCCGTACCCTGTCCTCACCCAACGTGGCCGCCGCGGGGCTCTGACGTCACACCGGGTGTGCCCCTGACGTCACCACGTGGACGTGACCCTGACGTCACCACCCACGCACAGGGCGCCCCCTACCGGGCCACCCGGTCAGTGCCGGGGTGTCCCCGCGGTCCCCCGGAGGTGGCAGCGGACAGGGGGGGTGGCACTGTCCCCTCAGCCCTCGGGGTCACCTCTGCCACCCCCAGCGGGGTTTGGTGGCCTTGAGGTGGCCCTGGGAACGTGGGGAATGAGCCCCCACCCCATTCCCGATGGGAATCCTGTGGGATCAAGCCGGGCCCCCCAGGGACCCCGAATCCCTCCCCCGTTGCTGTTTGGGATCCTCCGGTGTCCCCCCAGCCCCGCTGTCCCCATTGGGGACATTTAGGGCACAGATCCCAAAGGAGCCCATGCCGGGAATCCCAATGGGAATGGGAGTGGGGAGAGGAGGGGACGGTCCTGGGGGAGCGGGGTGGGATGGACAGTGGGGTAGACAGATGAACACTGGGATGGAGGGATGGACACTGGGAATCATAAATGGACACTGGGATGGACAAATGGACACTGGGATGGCTACATGGACGCTGGGATGGAGGGATGGACACTGGGATGGAAGGAGGGATGGACACTGGGATGGTAAGACAGAGAGATGGACAGTGGCATAGACAGGGTCGTGGACTGATGGACAATGGGATGGATGGACGGATGGATGGATGGATGGATGATGGATGATGGATGGATGGACACCAGGATAGGCAGGGGCAAGGAGAGGAGAATGTTGGGATGGACAGGGTCATGGATGGATGGACAAATGGACACTGGGATGGAGAGATGGACATTGGGATGGAAGGATGGATGGACATTGGGATGGACAGGGTCATGGATGGATGGACGCTGTAACAGGTGAATGGATGGACATGGCAGATGGACACTGGAATGCACGGAGGGATGGATGGATGGATGGATGGACGGACACTGGGATGGACAGGGGGATGGGTGGATGGACAGATGGACATAAAGAGGGGTAGGGGCATGGACAAAAGGACACGGGGATATATGAACACTAGGATGGACAAATGGATGGATGGATGGATGGATGGACGGACGGATGGATGGATGGATGGATGGATGGATGGATGCTGAGATCAGTGCAGCTGTTGTTGGATGGACACCAGGGTGGACAAGACCATGGACAGATGGACACTGGGATGGATGGGGACAGAGATGGATGGACATTGGGATGGACACAGGGACAGACAGAGGGACACAGGGATGGACAGATGGACATTGGGATGGACACAGGGATGAACAGAGGGACACTGGGATGGATGGGGACAGAGATGGACACAGGGACACTGGTATGGACGCAGGGACATTGAGATGGACAGAGGGACACAGGGATGGACGAGGACATTGACACCTGGGGGACCCCTGGGACCTTTTTGGGATCCTCCAGGGGTGTCTCTGGGGATTCATTGGGGTCACTTTGTGCCATCCCCAGCACCCCTTTGGGGACACACTGGGGTCACTTTGTATCATCTCTGGCATCCCTTTGGGGTCCCCCCAGGGTGTCTCGGGGGACACATTGGGGTCACTTTGTGCAATCTCTGGTACCCCTTTGGCGACACACTGGAGTCACTTTGTGCCATCCCTGGCACTTGTTTGGGGTCCCCCCAGGGTGTCCCTGGGGACACATTGAGGTCACTTTGTGCCACCTCTGGTACCCCTTTGGGGACACACTGGGGTCACTTTGTGCCATCCCCAGCACCCATTTGGGGACACATTGAGGTCACTTTGCTCTGTCCCTGGCACCCATTTGGGGTCACTCTGGGGTGTCCCTGGGGACACATTGGGGTCACTTTTTCCCACCTCTGGCACCCCTTTGGGGACACATTGGGGTCACTTTGTACCATCCCCAGCACCCCTTTGGGGACACATTGGGGTCACTTTGTGCCATCCCCAGCACCCGTTTGGGGACACCCTGGGGAGTCCTTGGGGCTGGTTTGAGGTGTCCCTGGGGTATCCCTGGGGACACATTGGGGTCACTTTGTGCCACCCACGGCACCCCTTTGGGTTCCCCCCAGGGTGCCCGGGGGGACACATCGGAGTCACTTCTCGCCGTCCCCGGGCCCCATTTGGGATTTCCCCGGGGGTCTCTGGCGGGGGTCTCCCCTCGGGGTGCCCGGTGCCCCCCTGGCGGAGGGCGCGGGGAGGGACCGCTCCTCCCCGGAATGATGTCAGCCTGGCCGGCCGCGGCCCCCGCCTCCCCCGGCGGCTCCGGCCCTGCCTCCCCGGGGAGGCGGCGGCGGCGGCGGCGGCGGTGCCGGGATGGCCCGGGCCGGTGGGGCGGCGGCGGCGGCGGCGGCGGCGGCGGCGGGGCGGCGGCAGCGAGCCGGGCTGCTGCTGCTCATGGTGCTGCTGCCCGAGCCGGGCGGCCGGGGCCGGGCCGGGGGGCGGCGGAGGCGGCGGGGAGAGGGCGGTGATGGCGTTGCGGGGACCCCCGGGCCGCCCCCCGGCCGCCCGCTGCTGCTGCTGCTGCCGCTGCCGCCGCCGCTGCCTCCGCCCCCCCGCGCCGCCGCCGCCGCCGCCCGCCCGGTAATAACGGAACCGAGCCCCCGCCCCCGGCCGGGCCCCCCCGGCCGCCTGCACTCCTCCCCTGCGCCTCGGCCCTGCCTCCCTGCGAGCCTCCATCCCTCCCTCCCTCCGGTGCCGCGCTCCATCCCTCCCTCCCCCGAGCCTCCCTCCATCCCTCCCTCCCTCCGCCGAGCCTTCCTCCAGCCCTCCTCTCCCTCCTTCCTTCCATCCCTCCACTCCTCCTCCAGCCCTCCCTCTCTCCATCCTTCTACTCCTCCTCCGGGCCTCCCTCCATCCATCCCTCCACTCCTCCTCCGAGCCTCCCTCCCCATCCCTCCCTCCACTCCTCCCTCCCCATCCCTCCCTCTCCCCCCGCGCCTCCCCCCGCCCCTTCCCCTCCCCTCGCTTGGCTCCGGGGCTCCTCCAGCTCCAACTTCTCGGGCTCTGCCCCCTCCCGCCCCCTCCTCCCTCCTTCCCTCCCTCTCCCCTTCCCTCCCTCCCCTCCCATCCCTCCCTCCGCAGATGCCGCTTCCCCGGCGGCCGGGACGGCGGCCCCCGGCACCTGCCCGGTGCTGATCCCGGGGGTGTCCGGGGGTCCCCCTGAGCCCCCCGGTGATGTTCTCGGTGCAGGAGGCGCTGCCCCGCGGCGGGGTCCCCATGAAGGAGGAGCCGCTGAGCGCGGGGCTCCCCGCCGGCCGCTGGCTGCAGGGGGGCACCGGCATCCTGGACGCCAGCACGGCGGCGCAGAGGTAAGGGACAGCCTGGGGACAGCTCGGGGACAGCCTGGGGACAGTTTTGGGGCAGCCTGGGGACAGTTTTGGGGCAGTTTTGGGGCAGCCCGGTGGCTCCGGGGGCTGCGGGATGGACGCAAGCCCAGCTCCGCGGGCATCCCGGGGTCCGCGGGAATTCCAAGGGCTGTGGGCATTCCAGGGGTATTCCAGGGGCAGTGGGCATCCCGGTTTTCATGGGCATCCCGGGGGTCTGGGCATTCCACGGCTCTGGGCATCCTGAGCTCCTCGGGTTTCCCAGCTTCCATGGGCGTTCCAGGGGCTGTGGGCATCCCGGTTTTCATGGGTATCCCGGTTTTCATGGGCATCCCAGTTTTTATGGGTATCCCGGTGTTTCTGGGCATTCCAGGGCTTTGGGCATCCTGAGCTCCTCGGGTTTCCCAGCTTCCGTGGGCATTCCGTGGGTGTGGGTATCCCAGGGCTGTGGATGTGCCAGGCTCTGTGGGCATCCCAAATTTCCACGGACATCCCGGGCTATGCTGGCATCCCAAATTCCAGAGGCATCCTGGGCTCTGGGAGTGTCCTGGGATCCATGGGAATGGGAATTCCAGGTCCTGTGGGCATCCTGGGCATCAGCTGTGGGCATTCCAGGATATTCCAGGGACTGTGAGAATCCTGGGCTTTGGGAGTGTCCTGGGATCCATGGGAATGGGAATTCCAGGTCCTGTGGGCATCCTGGGCATCTGCTGTGGGCATTCCAGGGTATTCCATGCCCCATGGGCATCCTGGGCACTGTGGGCATCCCAGGTTCCATGGGCATTCCGGTGTCCTGGGTCTCACAGGCATCCCAGGGTGTGCCCCCCCCCATTTTTCCTGGCATTCCTTGGGCCTCTGGATCCCCTATCCCGGTGCCCTGGGCATCCTGGGTTTCAGCTGCCAGGGGTTTGTGCCAATGGGATTGGGGTCTGTGCCCATCCGTGCCTTTTCCTGCGAATTCGAATCCCATTCCCTGCCCTTTTGGGGGACTCAGGTCCCATTCCCTGCCTCTTCCGGGGGGTTCAATTCCCATTCCTGCCTTTTCCAGGGGGCTCAAATCCCATTCCTTCCCTTTTTGGGGGACTCAAATCCCATTCCTTGCCCTCCTGGTGGATCGAATACCATCCCTGCCCTTTTGGGGGTTCAAATCCCATTCTGTGCCCTACTGGGAACTCAAATCCCATTCCTGCCTTTTCCAGGGAACTCAAATCCCATTCCTGCCTTTTCTGGGGGGCTCAAATCCCATTCCTGCCCTCCTGGGAAGTCAAATCCCATTCCTGCCTTTTCCTGGGAACTCAAATCCCATTCCCTGCCTTTTCCAGGGGGCTCAAATCCCATTCCCTGACCCTTTGTGGGCTCAAATCCCATTCCCTGCCCTCCTGGAAACTCAAATCCCATTCCTGCCTTTTCTGAGGGGCTCAGATCCCATTCTTCACCCTTTTGGGGAAGCTCAAATCCCATTCCTGCCTTTTCCAGGGGGCTCAAATCCATTCCCTGACCCTTTGGGGGCTCAAAGCCCATTCCCTGCCCTCCTGGGAACTCAAATCCCATTCTTTCCCCTTTTTGGGGGTTCAAATCCCATTCCCTGCCCTCCCTCAGTGTCCCCTCTCCCCTGTCCCTCTCTCCCTCAGTGCCACCCCTGTCCCCTGTCCTGCTGTCCCCTCTGCCAGCTTTGGGGTGTCTCTAAGGGGTCATGGTGGCTCCCTGGGGTCCCCCCAAAACTTTGGGAGGCTGGAAAACCTCAGGGAATCCCCCAAACCCCAAAGGGACGCCAAAGCGCGGCCACCCCCGGGGGGTGACAATGTGACACAGCTGAGGGACAGCAGTGCCAGGTCCTGTGTCCCCAAAACCTCCCTGGGACAGAGAGACACACCCGGGGCTGGCAGTGGTGACAAGGACGTGTCACCGAGCGGGCAGTGCCACCCTGGTGGCAGCTGGGCGTGTGCCACCGTGCTGGCAGTGCCACTCGTGGGGACACTGTCTTTGAGGGGAGGTGTCACCCTCACCCCATGGCCACCGCAGTGTCCCCATGGCCACCGCAGTGTCCCCAAGGGGGTGGCACCGAGTTCCTGCTCCGTGGGGTGGCACCGGGACCCTCTAAACCTCCTGTCCCGCAGTGTCCCCAAAGGTTTGGCACCGTGTCCGGGGTGTCCCCGCTGTGGGGTCCCCAGAGCCCCCCCGGAGCCGCTTTGGGGCCGGCGCCGCTTTCCTGGAAGCGCCGGGGCCGCGGCTGCTTGGAAATGCTTGATTGCCTTTAATAATTAATTAACGCGGCGGGCGGGGCCGGCAGCGCGGGGGGGACACGGCGGGGGACAGCGGGGGACAGCGGCGACAGCCAGAGCCACCCCCGCTGTCACCGCGGCCCTTTTGGGGGAATCTGTGGGGTTGGGAGGAGCCGCGGGCGCCGCTGTCCCGTTGTAAAGGGGGGACAGTGAGGGGACAGAGGTGTCCCCGCGGGGGTGGGAAACTGAGGGCGAAGCCACCGGTGCGGGGAGGGGACAAGGGACACGCTGTGGTGTCCACGGCAGGTGTGGGGACATGATGTGACCCATTTGGGGTGGCCGTGCACAGGAATTGTCACCTCGCCAGGTGTGGCCCCGCTGGTGTCCCTGGGGACAATTTGGGACCCCTGTGGGTGACTCTGGGGACACTTTGGGACCCCGTGGATGACCCTGGGGACACTTTGGAACAGCTGAGGGAGCTGTCCTCGGGAAATGTCCCCAGAGTGTCGCCAAGGGGCTGGGTTGGCGTGTGGCTGTGGCAGGGGTGACACTGGGGATCCGCTCTGCTGCCACCGGGGGGACACCGAGGGGACAGGGCCACCAGCGGGGTGGGGACACAGTGACAGGGACTGTGCTGGAGCCATCGTCCCTGATGTGGCTCTGCTGTCACCGTGCTGTCACCGCGGGTGTCGGGGCAGGGACAGCAGCGGCGAGCCCAGAGGCGGCACTGAGGGGTGGCCTGGGCGGGGAGGGCTCAGGGATGTCCCCTCTGTCCCCTTCTGTCCCTCGTGTCCCCGGTGACAGGGGCAGGGTGTCCCCAAGTGTGTCCCCTGCCCTGGACAGGGAGGGGGTGCTGGGTGTCACCCTCGTGGGGTGCTGGGGACGGGCTGGTGGCCTTGTGGACAGACTGGTGGCCCTGGGGACGGGGTCCTGTTGGCCTTGGGGACAGACTGGTGGCCTTGGGGACAGGGTCCTGGGGGTCTTGAGGAGAGGCTGGTCGACCTGAGGACAAGCTGGTAGCCTTGGGGATGGGGTCCTGGTGGCCTTGGGGACAAGCTGGTGGCCTTAGGGACAGGGTTCTTGTAGCCTTGGGGACAGGCTGGTTGCCCTGGGGACAGGGTGCTGTAAGTTTTGGGGGGTCCCAGGCCAGGGTGCTGGGGGTCCCAAGGACTGGATTTTAGGGTTTTGGGACTTTGGAGTTTTGGGATTTTGGGATTCTGGGAAGGGGTGCTGGGAGTCCCATGGAGGAGGGTCTGGGGGTCCCGGTGCTCTTTTGGAGTGTCCCAATATTGGGGTGCTGGGGGTCCCCGGGATGGGGCGCTGGTGTCCCATGGAGGAGATTTGGGGGGTCCCTGGGACGGGGTTTAGGCGGTCCCCAGGATGGGGTGTTTGGGTTCTGGTGTCCCACGGAGGGGGTTTGGGGGGTCCCAGTGCTGAATTTCTGAGTGTCCTGGAAATGGGGTGCTGGGGGTTTCTGGTAATGGGGGTCCCTAGAATTGGGATGGGAATCCTGGTCATGGGGTTTTGGGGTTCCTGGTAATGGGGTGCTGGGGGTGTTGGTGTCCCATGGAGGAGGTTTTGGGGTTCCTGGTGCTGGGGGGCCCCGAGATGGGGTAGTGGGGGTCCCCAGGATTTGGGTTATCAGGGATGGGGATCCCCAGGATGGGGTGCTGGGGGTGCTGGGGTCCCATGGAGGAGGCTTTGGGGTTCCTGGGAATGGCGTTTTGGGGGTCCCCCGGGATGGCGGACTGGGGATCCCAGTCCTGGTAATGGGATGCTGGGGGTCCTTGGGGCTGAGTTTCCACATGTCCTCATGTTGGGGTGCTGGGGGTCCCCAGGATTTGGGTTCTCGGGGATGGGGATCCCCAGGATGGGGAGCTGGGGGTGCTGGTGTCCCATGGAGGAGGTTTTGGGGTTCCTGGTTCTGGGAGTCTGCGGAATGGGGTGCTGGGGGTCCCGGTAGTGGAGGTCCTCAGAATTGGGGTTCTTGGGGATGGGAATCCTGGTGATGGGGTGATGGGGGTGTTGGTGTTCCGTGGAGGAGGTTTTGGGGTTCCCGGTACTGGGAGTCCCCAGAATTTGGGTTCTCGGGGATGGGGATCCTGGAGATGGGGTGCTGGAGGTCCCCGGGATGGGGCACTGAGGGTCCCAGTCCTGGGGGTCCCCCGGACAGGGTTTTGGGGGTTCCCGGTGCTGGGCGTCCCCAGGATGGGGAGTTGGGGGTGTGGGTGTCCCTTGGAGGAGGTTTTGGGGTTCCTGGTACTGGGGGTCCCCTAGATGGGGTTTTGGGGGTTCCCGGTGCTGGGCGTCTCCAGGATGGGGATCTGGGGGTGTGGGTGTCCCATGGAGGAGGTTCTGGGGTTCCTGGGAATGGAGTGCTGGGGGTCCCTGGGGCTGAGTTTCCAGGTGTCCTCATGTTGGGGTGCTGTGGCTCTCCAGGATTGGGGTTATCAGGGATGGGGATGCCCAGGATGGGGATCTGGGCGTGTTGGTGTCCCATGGAGGAGGTTTTGGGGTTCCTGGTTCTGGGAGTCCCCGGAATGGGGTGCTTGGGGTCCCGGTACTGGGGTTGCCCAGGATTGGGATTTTCAGGGATTGGGATCCTGGGGATGGGGTGCTGGGGGTGCTGGTGTCCCTTGGAGGAGGTTTTGGGGTTCTTGGTAATGGGGTGCTGGGGGTATTGGTGTCCCATGGAGGAGGTTTTGGGGCTCCCAGCACTGGGGGTCCCCAGAATTTGGGTTCTCGGGGATGGGGATCCCCAGGATGGGGAGCTGGGGGTGCTGGTGTCCCATGGAGGAGGTTTTGGGGTTCCTGGTTCTGGGAGTCCGCGGAATGGGGTGCTGGGGGTCCCGGTAGTGGAGGTCCCCAGAATTGGGGTTCTTGGGGATGGGGATCCTGGGGATGGGGTGCTGGGGGTCCCCGAGATGGGGCACTGAGGGTCCCAGTCCTGGGGGTCCCCAGGTTGGGGTGTTGGAGGTTCCCAGTGCTGGGGGTGCCAGTGTCCCATGGAGGAGGTTTTGGGGTTCACGGTGCTGGGGGTCCCCAGAATTTGGGTTCTCGGGAATGGGGATCCTGGAGATGGGGTGCTGGAGGTCCCCGAGATGTGGCACTGAGGGTCCCAGCGCTGGGGGTCCCCTGGATGGGGTTTGGGGGTTCCCGGTGCTGGGGGAGCTGGGGGTGCCGGTGTCCCACAGAGAAGGTTTTGGGGTTCCTGGGAATGGGGTGCTGGGAGCCCTCGGGATGGGGGACTGGGGATCCCAGTCCTGGTAATGGGGTGCTGGGGGTCCCCGTGTTGGGGGTTCCCAGGATTGGGGTTTTTAGGGATGGGGATCCCCAGGACGGGGAGCTGGGGGGTCCCTGGGGTGGGGTCCTGAGGGTCCCAGTGCTGGGGGGTCCCCAGGTCTGAGGTCCTGGGGATGGAGTGCTGCAGGTCCCAGTCCTGAGGGTCCCCCAGACGGGGTTTTGGGGGTTCCCGGTGCTGGGGATCCCAGGACTGGGGTTCTTAAGGATGGAGATCCCGGGGATGGGATGCTGGGGGGTCTCCGAGAGGGGGTCCTGGGGTTCCAGTCCTGGGGGACCCCCCGACGGGGTTTGGGGGGTTCTGGTGCCTGGGATCCCCAGAACTGGGGTTCATGGGGATGGGGATCCCCAGGACTGCGTTTTTGGAGTTTGGGGGTTCCGGTGTTGGGGATCCCCAGGACTGAGGTTCTCGGGGTTTGGAGGTTCTGGTGCTGGGGGTCGCCGGGATGAGGCGCTGAGGGTCCCAGTCCTGGGGGATCCCCGGATGTGGTTTGGGGGGTTCCGGTGCTGGGGATCTCCAGGACTGAGGTTCATGGGGATGGGGATCCCCAGGACTGGGGTTCCCAGGGTCTGGAGTTCCTGAGGTCTGGGGCTCTCGGGGTTTGGGGTTCCCAGGGTTTGCAGTTCCCAGGGTTTGGGGTTTTTGGTGTTTGGGGTTCTTGGTGTTTGGGGCTTGGGGTTCTCGGGATTTGGGGGTTTGGGGTTCTCGGGGTTTGGGATTCTCGGGGGTTTGGGGTTCTCGGGGTTTGGGATTCTCGGGGGTTTGAGGTTCCTGGGGTTTGGGGTTCCCGGGGTTTGGGATTCTTGGGGGTTTGGGGTTCTTGGGTTTTGGGGGTTCCCGGTGCTGCAGTTCTCAGGGTTTGGGCTTCCCGGGGTTTGGGGTTCCTGGGGTTTGGGGTTCCTGCTGGGGGGGGTAGCTGTGCTGCCGGGGCTGTGGCTGTGGCACTGTCGCGGCTGTCCCCACACCGTGTCACTGTCGCGGCTGTCCCCACACCGTGTCGCTGTCGCAGCGGGGTGTCGCTGGCCCGCGCTCACTTCGAGAAGCAGCCCCCGGCCAACCTGCGCAAGTCCAACTTCTTCCACTTCGTGCTGGCCATGTACGACCGCCAGGGCCAGCCCGTGGAGGTGGAGCGCACCTGCTTCATCGACTTCGTGGAGAAGGAGCGGGTGAGAAACCCCAAAAAACCCCAAAACTGCCCCAAAAACCCCCAAACTGTCCCAAAAACCCCCGCGTGGCTGCAGTCACGGTGAGGTCGGAGTGCAACCCCAAATCGTGGCACGAGTGACCCCAGAACGGGGTGGGAGGGACATGGAGTGACCAGGAGGGGACATTGAGTGACCCTGGCTGTGAATTTTGTCCCCAAAACCCCTCAAGGAGCAGAACGGGGAGAAAACCAACAACGGGATCCATTACCGGCTGCAGCTGCTCTACAGCAACGGTGGGTGAGAGGGTTTGGGGGGATCCGGGGGGGATTTGGGGTGTCCCCAAGGGGAGGTGACAAGCGGGGTGACCCCTCTGGTGTCCCCGCAGGGCTGCGGACCGAGCAGGATTTGTACGTCCGCCTCATTGACTCCATGTCCAAGCAGGTACCGAGACCCCAAAAATCCTCCCCAAATCCTCCCCAAAACTCCCCCCCAAAAAAATCCCCCCCCCAAAAAAATCCCCCCCCAAAAAAAAGATCCCCCCCAAAAAATCCTCCCCAAAAAATCCTCCCCAAAAGTGCCCCCAAAAAGCCCCCCGAAAAGCCCCCCGAAAGTGCCCCAAAAATCCCCCCAAAAATCCTCCCCAAAAATCCTCCCCAAAGTCCCCCCCAAAATCCCCCCCTTAAAATCCCCCCAAAATCCCCCAAAAGTCCCCCCCAAAAATCCCTCCAAAATCCCCGCAAAAATCACTCCAAAAAATCCCCCCCAAAAAATCTGCCCAAAAATCCCTCCAAAATCCCCCCCAAAATCCTCTCTAAATGTCCCCCCCAAAATCCGCTCCAAAAAATCCCCCAAAAAATCCCCCAGAAATCCCCCCAAAATCTCCAAAAAGGCCCCCAAAAATCACTTCCAAAACTCCCCCAAAATTCCCCCAAAGTGCCCCCAAAACTCCCCCCAAAAATCCCCCAAGATCCCCCCCCCAAACTCCCCCAAAATCCCTCGAAAATCCCCCAAAAGTCCCCCAAATCACCCCCCAAATCACCCCCCAAATCCCCCAAAAATCCCCCCGGCCCCACCCGCGGGTGACATCTGGATGTCCCCGCCGCCACATCTGGCCGGGGGCGGGGACTCCCCGGTGCCACCCCGGTGTCGCGGCTGTCCCCTCGGTGTCCCCTCCAGGCCATCATTTACGAGGGGCAGGACAAGAACCCCGAGATGTGCCGGGTGCTGCTGACGCACGAGATCATGTGCAGGTGACAGCCCGGGGGTGACAGGGGTGTCCCCAAGGTCCCTTCGGTGCCAGCTCGTGGTCACCGACCCCTGGTGCTAATTAACGAGCCGAGGCAGCGCCGCTAATTAACCCCGCGACAGGGGACAGGCCACCCCCGGTGTCCCCTCGGGGTCGGGGACTGCGGGTGGCCCTGCTGTGCCACCTGGAGGTGACAGGGACGGGTCCCCAACCCCTTCAGAGCCACCCAGGGTGATGCAGATGGGTCCCCAAGCCCTCCAGAGCCATTAAAGGGTGACAGGGATGGGTCCCCAACCCCTTCAGAGCCACCCAAGCATGACAGGGACGGGTCCCCAAGGCCTTCAGAGCCACCCAGAGAGGACACGGAGCCCCCAGGACCCCCAGAACTGTCCCCAACCCCATAAAGGGGTGGCAAAGTGCCACCCCTGAGTGTCCCCCCTGCTGTGTCCCCTCCCCACTGTCCCCTCTGTCCCCCACCCCTGAGTGACGGGGCGGTCCCAGGGTGGGACACGGGGACCTGGCGCGCCCCCCCCCCGGGGTTTGGGGGTCCCTTTGTCCTCGCTGTCCCCTGATGTCACCTGCTGTCCCCTGATGTCACCTGCTGTCCCCGTGTCCAGCCGCTGCTGTGACAAGAAGAGCTGCGGGAACCGCAACGAGACCCCCTCGGACCCCGTCATCATCGACAGGTGCTGGGGACACTGGGGACATTGGGGGACATCAGGGGACACTGGGGGACTTTGGGGGACACTGGGGACATCGGGAGACCTCATGGTGACCGGGCAGCACCGGCGGTGTCCCCAAGCTTGGGGACATGATGCTGATGAGCCAAGGGACAGCAGAGGGCACTCCGGGTGCCCCCAGGGGGTGACAGCGGTGACAGATGTCCCCAGCCGTCACATCAATAATGGAGGTGGCACTGGTGCGTTGGGGACATCTCAGGGTGGCTGTGTCCCTGTCCCTGAGGTCCCTCTGTCCCTGTCCCCACCGGGGTCCTCCTGCCTGTCCCGGTGTCACCTCCCTGGTGCCACCAAGCCAAGCGTGGGGTTGTCACCTGTCCCCTTGTCACTGCCGTTGTCCCCGTGTCCCCTGTCCCGCAGGTGTCCTGGGGCTGTCCCCATCATGGCGCTTTTGGGGGTGGCGTCCCCTTGGGAGGTGACACCCCGATGGTTGGTGGCCATGTCCCAAATGTCCCCTCCTCAGCCGCAGGACTTTTGGGGGGTCCCCCAGTCTGCCCCCAAGGACTTTCGGGGTGTCCCCAACCCCCTGTCCCCATCCATGGGCCTTTTAGGGGGTCACCCAGTGCCAGGAGAGTCCCCAACCTGTCCCCCCCCCTCCCCAGAACTTTTGGGGTGTCCCCAAACCCACCCCAGGACGTTTGGGGTGTCCCTGGTCCCCCTTCACAGCATTTTGGGATGTCCCCAATCCCCTGTCCCCATCCCCAGCACTTTTGGGGGCGTTACCCACTTCCAGGGGTGTCCCCAGCTTGTCCCCAACCTGCCCCAAAACTTTTGGGGTGTCCCCAACTCCCTCTCTGCATCCCCAGCACTTTTGTGTCAGCTGTGTCCCCAACCTGTCCCACTCATCCCCAGAACTTTTGGGGTGTCCCCAACCCGCCCCAGAACTTTTGGGGTGTCTCCATTCACAGCACTTTCAGGGTGCCCCCTGTCCCCATCTCCATCACTTTTGGGGGGTCACCCACTTGCAGGCGTGTCCCCAACCCACCCCAGGACTTTAGGGAAATCCTCTCTCCTCATCCTCATCACTTTTGGGGTGTCCCCAACCCACCCCTGGACTTTCGGGGTGTCCCCAACCCCTCTCCCCATCCCCATCCCTTTCGGGGGTCATGCAGTTCCAGGCGTGTCCCCATCCTGTGCCCCCCGTCCCCGTCACTTTTGGGGTGTCCCCAGCCTGCTCCAGGACTTTCTGGATGTCCCCATTCCCATCACTTTTGGTTTGTCCTCTGTCCCCATCCCTGTCACTTTTGGGGTGTCCTCTCTCCCCACTCACATCACTTTTGGGGTGTCCCTGACTGCATCACTTTTGGGGTGTCCCCTTTCCCCATTCACAACACTTATGGGGTGTCCCCATCACTTTCGGGGTGTCCTCTGTCCTCATCCCCATCACTTTTAGGGTGTCCCCATTCACAACACTTTTGGGGCGTTCCCAACCCACCCCAGGACTTTCTGGATGTCACAATTCCCAGCACTTTTGGGGTGTCTCCTGTCCCCATCCCTGTCACTTTTGGGATGTCCTCTGTTCACATCCCTGTCACTTTTGGGGTGTCCCCAAATCCCCTGTCCTCATTCTTGTCACTTTTGGGATGTCCCCGACCCACCCCAGGACTTTTGAAGTGTCTCCATTCTGATCATTTTGTGGTGTCCCCCATCCCCTGTCCCCATCACTTTTAGGGTGTCCTCTGTCCCCATCCTCATCACTTTCGGGGTGTCCCCAACCCACCTCAGGAATTTTGGGGTGTCCCCATCCCCATCACTTTGGGGTGTCCCCTCTCCCCATTCCCATGACTTTTGAGGTGTCCCAATCCCCATCAGTTTTAGGGTGTCCCCAGTCCCCTGTCCCCATCTCTGTCACTTTTGGGGTGTCGCCAGCCCCCAATCCCCAATCTTATCACTTTTGGAGTGTCTCCAATCCCCTGTCCCCATCCCCATCACTTTTGGGGTGTCCCCTGTCCCCATTCCTGTCACTTTTGGGGTGTCCCCATTCCCAGTACTTTTTGGTGTCCCCAACCTTCCCCAGGACTTTTGGGGTGTCCCCTGTCCCAAATCACAAGACTTTTGGGGTGTCCCCAACCCACCTCAGGACTTTTGGGGTGTCTTCATCTCCATCACTTTCGGGGTGTCTCCTGTCCCCATCCCTGTCACTTTTGGGGTGTCCCTTCTCCCCATTCCCATCCCTTTTGGGGGGTCATGCAGTTCCAGGCTTGTCCCCAACCTGTCCTCCCCATCACTATCAGGGTGTCCCCTGTCCCCATCCCCATCACTTTTGGGGTGTCCCCAACCCACCCCAGGAATTTTGGGGTGTCCCCATTCCCATCCCTTTTGAGGTGTCCCCAACCCGCCTCAGGACTTTTGGGGTGTCTCCATTCACAGCACTTTCAGGGTGTCCCCTGTCCCCATCTCCATCACTTCTGGTGGGTTGGGGACACTTGCAGAAGTGTCCCCAACCCACCCCAGGATTTATAGAGTGTCCCTTGTCCCCATCCTCATCACTTTTGGGGTGTCCCCATCCCTTCTGGAGTGTCCTCTGTCCCCATCCCCATCACTTTTGGGGTGTCCCCACCCCTATCACTTTTGGGGTGTGGCCAACCCCCTGTCCCCATTCCCATCACTTTTGGGATGTCCCCTCTCCCCATCCCCATTACTTTTGGGGTGTCCCCAATTCCCTGTCCCTATCTCTGTCACTTTTGAGGTGTCCTCAATCCTCTGTCCCCATCCCCATCACTTTTGGAGTGTCCCTTGTCGCCATCCCCATCACTTTCGAGGTGTCCCCATGTCCCCATCCCCGTCACTTTTGGGGTGTCCCCAATCCCCATCCCCATCACTTTTGGGATGTCCCCTCTCCCCATCCCCGTCACTTTCGGGGTGTCCCCATCCCCATCAGTTTCGAGGTGTCCCCTGTCCCTATCCCCATCACTTCCGGGGTGTCTCCCATCCTCTGTTCCTGTTCCTGTAATATTTGGGGTGTCCCCATTCCCATCACTTTGGGGTGTCCCCTCTCCCCATTCCCGTCACTTTTGGGGTGTCCCCATCCCCGTCCCTTCCAGGGGGTCACGCAGGGCCAGCCGTGTCCCCATCCGTGTCCCCATCCCTGTCGCGAACCCCCCCTGTCCCCCGTGTCCCCGTGTCCCCCCCCGGGCCAGCCCTGCTGGTTTGAGAGCGCGCTAAGTGCCCCTCTCGCGGCGTTAATCAAATTACCCGGCTGCGAAAATTGACGCTTCTCATTAATTAGCCACGATTATGCTAATTGCGCATTCAAATTTATGCGCCGCGAGCACAAGGTGCTCGGCAGCGGCGCCGGGCATTTGCATATTCAATGGTAATTAGCGATGCTAATTAATGCGCCGGCCCCGTATTTTTAACTCGCGGGGGTTCAGCCCCAGCCCCCCTACCTGGGGCTGGGATTTGGGGGGTTTAGGGGGGATTTTGTGGGGTTTTTTCGGGGGTTTGGTGTTCCCCCGCGGCTGCGATGTGCTGGGCGTGGCGGGACCGTTTTTGGGGCGTTTTTGGGGCGTTTTCGGGGCGTTTTTGGGGTGTTTCCCGGCATTTTCCAGCTTCTTCCTTGCCCTGATTACCACCCGCGGGGCGGGAATGGGATTATGGGAATGTGGGGAATGGGGGGAGCCCCCCCTTTTCCTGTGTTGTTCCATAAGGTGGGACCCCCTTTCTGTGGGGTTGGGACCTCCTCAGTGTGAGATCCCTTTTTATGGGGTCTCCCCTTTTCCATGGGGTCCTAAAAATGAGACCCCTTTTTGTGGGATCCTCTTTTTATGGGATCTCCCTTTTTGTGGGATCTCTCTTTTTTTGGGACTCCCTTTTTATGGGATCCCCCTTAACATGGGGAGCCCCTCGCTGTGGGGGGTCCCCCTTTTCCACTGGTCCTCTAAATGAGACCCCTTTTTGCGCGATTCCCCCTTTTTGCGAGATTTCCCCTTTTTGCGGGATTCCCCCTTTTTGCAGGATCCCCCTTTTTTGGGATCCCTCTTTTCCATGGGGAGCACCTCGCTGTGGGAACCCCCATTTCATGGGATCTGCTTTTTGTGGGATCCCCCTTTCCATGGGAAACCCTTTTTTTTGTGGGATCCCCATTCCCTGGGACCCCCTTTCCATGGGATCCTCCCCTCCCTGGCAGTTCCTTTTTATGGGATGCCCTCTCCATGAGATCCCTTTTTGTGGGATCCCCTCACCCATGGGATCCCCTGATTTGTGGGATCCCCTTTTTCCTGAGATCCCCTCATCCATGGGACCCCTTTATTGTGGGATCTCTTTCCTTGGGACCCCCTCTCTGTAGGATTAACTTTCCCTGGAAACCCCTTTCTGTGGGACCCCTTTTCTATGGGATCCCCATTCCCTGGGATCCCCCTTTCCATGTAACCACTTTTTTGTGGGATCCTTTTCCCTCATGACCCCTTTTTTGTGGGATCTCCTTTTTTGTGGGATCCCCTTTTTTCAGGATCCTCTTTTTATGGGATCCCTGGGATCCTTTTCCCCCTGGGATTCTTTTTTCCTGGGATCCCCTTTTTGTGGGATCCCCTCTCCCTGAGACCCATTTTCCATGGGATCCCCTTTTTTGGGGACCTGCTTTTTGTGGGATCCCCTTTCCATGTAACCCCTTTTTGTGGGATCCCCATTTTTGTGCGATCCCCATTTTTGTGCGATCCCCATTTTCTGGGACCCCTTTTTGTGAGATCCCCTTTCCATGTAACCCCTTTTTGTGGGATCCCCTTTTTTGTGGGATCCCCTTTTTATGGGATCCCATTTCCATGGAACTCTTTTTTTGTGGGATCCCCATTCCCTGGGACCCCCTTTTTTATGGGATCCCCTTTCCATGTAATGCCTTTTTGTGGAATCCCCCTTTTTGTGGGATCCCCGTTCCCTGGGATTCCCCTCCGTGTCCCCCCAGCCTCACCTGGGGCTGACCCCACTTGGGGTCCCCCAGATGTCCCCAAACCCCGTGTGACCCCAAGGACAGGCCCGCAGGTCCCCAATGTTCCCAGGGACCCCGGTGTCACCCCCAGCGGGATGGGGACACTGGGATGGGGACGGGGACACTGGGATGGGGACAATAATGGGGTGGTGACAAGAAAGGACAGCAGAACAGGGACAGAATAGGACATTGGGATGGGGACACCAGGATTTGGGACAGGATGGGGACAGAATGGGGACACCAAGATGTGGATGGGGACGGGAACACTGGGATGGCAATGGGGACACCAGGATGGGGACACTGGGATGGGGACCATGATGAGGTGGTGAAAAGAAGGGACAGCAGAACGAGGACAGAACGGGACATTGGGATGGGGACAGAATGGGGGCACCAAGATGTGGATGGGGACACTGGGATGGGGACAGGATGGGGACACTGGGATGGGGATGGGAACACCAGGATGGGGACACCGGGATCGTAATGGGGACACCAAGAATTGGATGGGGACAATAATGGGGTGGTGACAAGAAGGGACAGCAGAACGAGGACAGAATGGAACATCGGGATGGGGACACCAGGACTGGGGACGCCATGGGGACAGGGTGGAGACAGAATGGGGACACTGGGATGGAGACAATAATGGGGTGGTGACAAGAAGGGACATTGGGATGGGGACAACAGACAGGAACACTGGGATTGGAGACACCATGGGGACACTGGGATGGGGACACCGAGATTTGGGGACACCATGGAGACACATTTGTCCCCCTCTTTTTTTCACCCCGTTTCAGGTTTTTCCTCAAGTTTTTCCTCAAGTGCAACCAGAACTGCCTGAAAAACGCCGGGAACCCGCGGGACATGCGGCGCTTCCAGGTGACACTTGAGGACATCACCAAGAGGGTGGAGGGGACACTAAAAAGGGGTGTAGGAGACCCCAAAAGGATTTCCCAAAGGGGCCGAGGGGAATCTTTTTGGGGTCGCCTGCACCTCAACCCCCCTTTTAGGGATTGAAATTTGGGGTGTTTTATAGGGTGGCGGTAGATTTTTTAGGGTGGTGGGAAATTTGGGATTTTCAAAGGGGTCGCGGCAAACTGGGGACTCAATTCCACTCAACCCCTTATGGAAATCCTTTTTGGGATCACCTACACCCCTTTTTGGGGTCAAAATTTAGGGGTTTTTGGGTGGTTTATAGGGTGGTGGTAAATTTGGGATTTTCAAATTAATCAAGAGGAATTGAGTCCCCAAACTCGCTCGACCCTTTGGGGAATCCTTTTGGAGTTGCCTGAATCCCTTTTTGGGATCTCCTCCTTGATGTCCCCAAGTGTCACCTGGAAGTGTCACCTTTTATAGATCGGTGGTGGATTTGGGATTTCCTAAAGGGGTCAAGGCAAACTGGGGACTCAATTCCCCTCAACCCCTTTAGGAAATCTTTTTTGGGTTCACCTGAACCCCTTTTTGGGGTGTCCTCCACCCTATTTGTGATGTCCCCAAGTGTCACCTCCAAGTGTCACCCTTTATAGGGTGGCAGTGGATTTTTTAGGGTGGTGGCGGTTTTTTTTAGGGGTTCGAGGGGAATTGGAGACTTGATTCCCCAAATTTCTTGAAGTTGAGACTTGAAATCCCAAATTTTCTGCTACCCTAAAATTCCCACTGCTGTTCTATAAAAAACTCCAAATCCGGCCTGAAAACCCCAAAAATCTCAAAAATTTTGACCCCAAAAAGGGGTACAAGTGACCCCAAAAAGAATCCCCAAAAGGGTTGAGGGGAATTGAGCCCCCAATTCCCCTTGACCCCTTTGAAAATCCCAAATCTGCCGCCACCCTAAAAATTCCATTGCCGCCCTATAAAAACCACAAAATTTGACCCCAAAAAGGGGTGCAGGTGACCCCCGAAAAGAATCCCCAAAGGGGTTGAGAGGAATTCCCCGTTCAGGGGGAATCGAGTCCCAAATTCCCTTCAAACCCCTTTGAAAAACCCCAAATCCGCCTCTACCCTAAAAATCCCACCGCCTCCCTATAAAAAACCCCAAATTTTGACCCCCAAAAGGGGTGCAAATGACCCTAAAAAAGTTTCCTAAGGGATTGAGGGGAATCGAGTCCCCAATTCCCCTCAGCCCCTTTAAAAAATCCCAAATCCGCTGCCACCCTAAAAATCTACCGCCACCCTATAAAAATCCCCAAATTTTGACCTCTAAAAGGGGGTTTGAGATGCAGGGGACCCCAAAAGGATTTCCTAAAGGGGTCGAGGGGAACTGGGGCCTCGATTCCCCCCAAATGGGGGGAATCGAGCCCCCAATTTCCCTCTACCCCTTTGAAAATCTTAAATTTCCTGCTACCCTAAAAATTCCCTTGCCGCCCTATAAAAACCCCATATTTCAACCCCTAAAAGAGGGGTTTAAGTGCAGGTGACTCCAAAAGGATTTCCTAAAGGGGTTGAAGGGAATCAAGTCCCAAATTCCCTTTGACCCCTTTGATAAATCCCAAATTTCCCGCCACCCTAAAAATTCCATCACCACCCTATGCAAAACCCCAAATTTCAACGCCTAAAAGGGGAGTTGAGGTGCAGGCGACCCCAAAAAGATTCCCCAAAGCGGCTGATTTGGGATTTTCCCATCTGGGGGGGAATCGAGCCCCCAATTCCCCTCGACCCCTTTGAAAATCCCAAATCAGCTGCTACCCTAAAAATCCCATGATGATCACCCTATAAAAAACCCCAAATCCGGCCTGAAAACCCCAAAATTCTCCGCTCCCCCCACAACCCCCCCCCCCCCCCCCCCCCCCCCACCGGTCGCAGCTGGGTCCTGGCCCCCCCCGAGGTTCATCAGGGCTCGCTAACGAGATGTTAATTATGACATTTCGGTGATTAACGACCCCATTTGCATCGCGGCATCGGCGGCGGGAGAGCGGCGGGAAAAGGGAAAAGGAGGGGGAGGATTTGTGGGGTTTGTGGGGTTTGTGGGATTAGGGGGGGACGGGAATGGGGGGGGGGTTCCCTTTTAGGGGATGGGGGATTGGGGGTGGTCCTAAAAGGGGTTTAGGGTGCGCTGGAGGGGTCCTGAGGGGGGTTCAGGGGGGTTTGGGGGATTAGGGGGTGTGGAGGTGGCCCCAAAAAAGGGGTTTTGGGGTCCTCTGGGGGGAATTAGGAGGAGTGGGGGTGACCCTAAAAGGGGTTTGGGGTCCCCTGGGGGGAATTTGGGGGGGCTGGAGGTGACCGTAAAAGGGGTTTGGGGTCCCTTTGTGGGGCCAGGGTGGGTTGGGGGTGGCTCTAAGCGGGTTTGGGGTTCCCTGTGGGGAATTTGGGGGATTGAGGGTGGCCCCAAAAGGGGTTTAGGGTCTCCTGGAGGGACTGGGTCAGGAAGATCTGCAGGAATTTGGGGGGTTGGGGGTGGCCCTAAAAAGAATTTGGGTTTCCCTGGGGGAAATTTGAGAGAGTGGAGGTGACCCTAAAAGGGATTTGGGGGGGGGTTCTGAGAGGACATCAAGGGAGTTTTGGGTCTCCTGGGGGATTTGGGGGACTGGGGGTAGCCCTAAAAGGGATTTGAGGTCCCCTGAGGGGAATTTGAAGGAGTGGTTGTGACCCTAAAAGGGATTTGGGGGAGGTCTCTGAGGGGGGGGCCCTAGAAGGGGTTTGGGGGGTAACCCTTAGGGGGCGGCCCTAAAAGTGGTTTGGGCTTCTCTGAGGGGAATTTGGGGGAGTGGGGGTGACCCTAAAAGGGGTTTGGGGTCCTCTGGGGAATTTGAGGGAGTGGGAGTGACCCTAAAAGGGGTTTGGCGTCACTTGGAGGGAATTTGGGGGCCTGGAGGTGACCCTAAAAGGGATTTGGGGGTTCCCTGGGAAGAATTTGGGGCACTGGGGGTCACCCCAAAAGGGGTTTGGGGTCCCCTGGGGGGAATTTGAGGAAGTGGGGGTGACCCTAAAAAGGATTTGCGGGGGGTCCCTTACGGGGTGGCCCTAAAGGGGTTTGGGGTCCTCTGGGGGGAATTTGGGGGGTTGGGTGTGGCCTTAAAAGGTGTTTGGGATTTACTGGAGGAGCTGGGGCAGGGAAGACCTGGAGGAATTTGGGAGATGACCCTGAAAGGGGTTTGGGGGGTCCTGAGGGGGCTTCAGGGGGGTTTGGGGTGCCCTCGGGAATTTAGGGGCACTGGGAGTGGCTCTAAAAGGGATTTGGGGGAGGTCTCTGAGGGGGTGGCCCTAAAAGGGGTTTGGGTTTCCCTGAGGGGAATTTGGGGGAGTGGGAGTGACCCTAAAAGGGATTTGGGGTCTCCTGGAGGGGCTGGGGCAGGGAAGACCTGGGGGAATTTGGGGAGTTGGGGGTGACCCTAAAAGGAGTTTGGGGTCCCCTGGGGGGGAATTTGGGTAACTCAAGGTGACCCTAAAAGGGGTTTGGTGTCCCCTTGGCGGGGCTGGGGTGAGGTTGGGGATGGCCCTAAAAGGGGTTTGGGGTCCCCTGGGTGTCCCCTGGGGGAAGGAGCTCGGCAGTCTGGGGGTCCCCTGGGGGAGCTGGTGACCCCAGGCTGTGCGGGCCACCCTCGGGCCACCACTGGGACACTGTGGGGACACCACAGCTGCCACCTCCTGTGGTGTGACAGGACTGTGATTGGGATGGGGACAGCACAGGGACACCACATACAGTGTCCCTGCAGTGTGACAGGGCTGTGACAGGGGAGGGGACGTCATGGGGACACTACAGGGACAGCACAGGGGGACACCACAGACAGCATCCTTGCAGTGTGACAGGGCTGTGACAGGGGAGAGGACATCATGGGAACAGCACATACAGCATCCCTGTGGTGTGACAGGGGTGGGGACACCATGGGGACATCATGGGGACAGCACAGGGACACCACATACAGCATCCTTGTTGTATGACAGAGATGGGGACACTGTGGGGACATTGTGGGGACACCACACACAGCGTCCCCGCGCTGTGACAGGGGAGGGGACACCCCTGGGACACTAAAGGGACACCACACCCAGTGCCCCTGCAGTGTCCCCAGCCAGGCCACCACGGGGTGAGCGTGTCCCTTGTCCCCGCAGGTGGTGGTGTCCACCACGGTGCACGTGGACGGCCACGTCCTGGCCGTGTCCGACAACATGTTCGTGCACAACAACTCCAAGCACGGCCGGCGCGCCCGGCGCCTCGACCCCTCCGAAGGTCAGGGGACACCTGGGGACATCTTGGGGACATGTGTTGGGACCCTGCCAGCATGGCCTGGCACCCCCCTGGGTGATCCCTGCTGTCCCCACCATGCTGTCCCCAATGTTTGTGCCCATCCATGGTTGGGTGTCCATGGGTTCCTCCCCGTCGGTGTCACCGTGGCCACCTTGGGGACATCTTGAGGATATCTTGGGGACATGTTTTGGGACCCTGCCAATGTGGCTGGCATCCCCAGGGTGATCCCTTTGTCCCCACCTGCTGTCCCCAAATGTCTGGTGGGCCCATCCATGGGTGTCTGTCCCCATCCATGTCACTGTGGCCACCTTGGGGACATCTTGGGGACAAGTTTTGGGACTCTGCCAGCGTGACCTGGCACCCCCGGGACGATATCTGTGTCCCCACCCTGCTGTCCCCACCCTGCTGTCCCCAGTGTCTTTGCCTGTCCATGGTTGGGTGTCCATGGGGTGCCTCCCCACCTGTGTCACCATGGCCATCTTGGGGACATCCTGGGGACATGCCATGGGACCCTGCCAGTGTGGCCTGGCATCCCCCAGGCGATCCATTTGTCCCCACCCTGCTGTCCCCAATATCTGGTGGACCTATCCATGGGTGTCTCTCTTTGTCCCCACCTGTGTCACCATGGCCACCTTGGGGACATCTTGGGGACAAGTTTTGGGAGCCCCCAGCCTGACCTGGCACCCCCAGGTGATCCCTGTGTCCCCACCCTGCTGTCCCCAAGTGTCCGTGCCCATCCATGCTGGGTGTCCGTGGGTGCCTCTGTCCCCACTCGTGTCACCATGGTCACACGTGCGTGTCCCCAGCCATGTCCATGTGGCCACCTGTGATTGTCCCCATCTGTGTCCATACATCTGTCCCTGGTCACGTCCCTGTGGCCACTTGTGTGTCCCCAGCCATACCCATGTCCCTGTGTCCCCATATCTGTCCCAATCCATATCCCCATGCCCCCATGGCCTCCTGTGTCTGTCCCAGTCCATGCCCTCATGTCCCCATCCATGTCCATGTCCCCATGTCTGTCCATGTCCATGTCCCCATACCTGTCCCTGTGTCCCCATACCTGTCCCTGTGTCCCCATGCCTGCCCCACATCTGTCACGATCCACACCCATGTCCCCATCTATATCTGTGTGCCCATTCTGGTCCCCATGTCCCCACATCTGTCCCACTCCATGTCCCCATACCTGTCCCTGTGTCCTCATGTCTGTCCCACTCCATGTCCATGTCCCCATTCCTGTCCCCTCTTCCCTGTCCCCCTCCACCCCTCTGTCCCCACCATCTCTGTCCTTGTCCCCTCTACCCCATTTCTATCCCTGTCCCTCCCCACCCCTCTGTCCCTGTCCCCATGTCCCCGTGCCTGTCCCCTCTTCCCTGTCCCCCTCCACCCCTCTGTCCCCACCATCGCTGTCCCTGTTCTGCCACCCCTCTGTCCCCACCTTCTCTGTCCCTGTCCCCTCCACCCCGTTGCTGTCCCTGTCCCCCCCACCCCTCTGTCCCTGTCCCCTCCACCCGATCTCTGTACTTGTCCCCTCTATCCCTGTCCTCCCCACCCCTCTGTCCCTGTCCCCATGCCTGTCCCCATGTCTGTCCCACTCCATGTCCATGTCCCCGTGCCTGTCCCCTTCACCCCTCTGTCCCTGCCATCGCTGTCCCTGTCTTGCCACTCCTCTGTCCCTGTCCCTGTCCCACCCCTCCCTCCCTGCCATAGCTGTCCCTGCCATCGCTGTCCCTGTCCCCCTCACCTCTCAGTCCCCACCATCCCTGTCCCCTTCACCCCTCTGTCCCTGTCCCCTCCACCCCATCACTGTCCCTGTGCCCCCCACCCCTCTGTCCCCACCATTGCTGTCCCTGTCCCCCTCCTCTCTGTCCCTGTCCCCCCACCACGGCTGTCGCTGTCCCCTCCAGCAGCCACCCCCTGCATCAAGGCCATCAGCCCCAGCGAGGGCTGGACCACGGGCGGTGCCACCGTCATTGTCATCGGGGACAACTTCTTCGATGGCCTGCAGGTGCTCTTTGGCACCGTGCTGGTGTGGAGCGAGGTACGGCCGGGGTGGCGTGGGGACACCTGGGGACACCCTGGGGACACTGCTGAGGCCGTGTCCCCCCGCAGCTCATCACCCCCCACGCCATCCGCGTGCAGACGCCCCCCCGGCACATCCCGGGGGTCGTGGAGGTGACATTGTCCTACAAGGCCAAGCACTTCTGCAAGGGCGCCCCGGGACGCTTCGTCTACACCGGTGAGGGACACAGGGACATGGGGACATTGGGGATGGGGAGGTGACATTGTCCTACAAGGCCAAGCACTTCTGCAAGGGCACCCCGGGATGTTTCGTCTACACCGGTGAGGGACAATGGGGACAGGGACAGCGGGGATGGGTGGGGACAGCGGGGATGGGGAGGGGACATTGGGATGGGGACATTGGGACTGTGGTGGGGACATCAGGACTGGACTGGGGACAGTGGAACTGGGGACATCGGGATTGGGACTGGGACATCAGGACTGGGGTGGGGCCATTGGGGCGGGGCCATTGGGACTGGGGTGGGGCCATTGGGACTGGGGGCATTGGGGCTGGGGTGGGGATATAGGGCTTGGGGAGGGGACATTAGGACTGGGGACATTGGGGCTGGGGTGGGGACATTAGGACTGGAGACATTGGGATTGGGGACATCAGGATTGGGATGGGGACACCTGGGCTTGAGATAGGGACACCCATGAATGGGATAAAGACCCAATCCTAGGAGCCCAACTGGTATTGGCATAGAGACCACTGGGAATGGGATGGATTCACCTGGGGCTGGGATGGGGACATCAGGATTGGAATGGGGACACCCGGGAATGGGATAGAGACTGCTGGGGTTGGGATGGGGACACCTGGGTTGGGAATTGGGACACCTGGGAATGGGATGGGGACACCTGGGAATGGGATAGAGTCTTGGGATTGAGACCTGGGAAGGGGACACATAACCCCAAAAAGGGGTGGAGAACCCTGGGACTGGGATTGGGATGGAAAGTCCTGGGTTGGTGACACCTGGAATTGGGATGGGGACACCTGGGACTGTGTCACGGACTCGTGGGATGGGGACGCAAACCCCAGGAAAGGAACACAGACCCCGGGAAGGGGACGGAGCCCCTGTGACAGTGACACAGACAGCCAGGACAGTGCCCTGGACCTTGGGACAATGTTCCAGCCCATGGGACACTGTGACAGTGGCGGCGATGTCCCCTGTCCCCAGCCCTGAACGAGCCCACCATCGATTACGGGTTCCAGCGGCTGCAGAAGGTGATCCCGCGGCACCCCGGGGACCCTGAGCGCCTGCCCAAGGTAGGGGACAGTGACAGTGACACCCCGGGAGGACAAGAGGGACACCCTGGGGACACAGGGACTCCCTGGCAGTGCCCCAGGGGCAAAGGGCAGGGAGGGGGTGACAGTTGTTGTGTGCCCTGGGTATGGCAGGGGTTTGGGAAATGGGGGGGTCATTGGGGACACAAAATGGGGACATGGGGGAGTCGCTGGGGACACAAAATTGGGGCGTCAGGGGTGGTGACTGGGGGGACATGGTGGGGACACGGGGGGACCATGGGAGGGCCAAGGGAGTGGTCACTGGAGGCACAGAATGGAGACACAGGGGGGCTCATTGGGGACACAGAATGGGGGCATCAGGGGTGGTGACCAGGGGGACACAGTGGAGTCGTTGGGGGCACAGAATGGGGGCACGGGGTGACCATGGTGGGGACAAGGGGGTGGTCTTTGGGGGCACAGAATGGGAACATGGGGGAGTCATTGGGGACACAGAATGGGAACACAGTGGGGTCGTTGGGGACACAGAATGGGGACACGGGGTGACCATAGAGGGGACAAGGGGGTGGTCATTGGGGACATAGAATGAGGGGGGCAGGAGGGACACAGGGGGGTCTTTGAGGACACAGAATAAGGACATGGGGGGACCATGAGGGGACACAGGGGCATCATTGGAGATACAGAATGGGGACACAGGGGACCGTAGGGGGTGGGCTGGGGGTGCAGCACCCCCTGACCCCCCGGTCCCCTCCCCTGTCCCCTCGCTGTCCCCAGGAGGTGCTGCTGAAGCGCGCAGCCGACCTGGTGGAGGCGCTCTATGGGGTCCCCCACAGCAACCAGGTGTGTGGGGACCCCTCTGGGACCCCCTTGGGGACCCTCTGGGACACCCCTGAGACCCCCTCCCCCTGGGACCCCCCTCAAGTCACCCCCCGGTCACACCTGGAGGGTCCTGGTCCCCTCCCCAGCCCTGGGAGGTGACACCAGCTGGGACAGTCCCAGACACCCCCGGCCCATCCCGGTCACCCCAGGCTCTGTGGGTGGTGGGGTGACACCGAGGGGTGGCACTGTAGGGTGACAGCAAGGGGTGACACTATGCTGGAGGGTGGCTCTGCAGGGAGACATCAATGGGTGGCACTGTGGGGTGACACCAAGAGGTGACACTGCGGGGCACCATCGGGGGGTGACAATGAGAGGTGACACTTGAGGGTGACGCTGTGCTGGAGGGTGACACTGTGGGGTGGCACAGAGAGGTGACACTGATGGGTGACACCAAGGGCTTACTCTGTGGGATGACACTGAGGTGACACTGAGGGGTGGCACTGCGGGGTGACACCAAGGAGTTACTCTGTGGGGTGGCACCATGCTGGAGGGTGACACTGTAGGGTGACACTGTGAGGTGACACTGCAAAGTGGCACTGTAGGGTGCCACCCAGAGGTGCCACCAAGCAGTGCCACCCTCCCTGGGTGGTGACACCGCTGCCGTGTCCCCAGGACGTGCTGCTGAAGCGGGCGGCCGACGTGGCTGAGGCGCTCTACAGTGTCCCCAGGGCCCCCGCGCATGTCACTGTCCCCTCCTTCGGCGGGGGACAGCTTGGCCTCGCCATGGGCGACTCCCCGCAGAGCTCCGAACAAGGTGCGCGGTGGCCTCGGGGTGGCGGGAGGGCTTTTGTCACCTCCCCGGATGGTGGCACCTGTCGCTGTCCCCTCAGGGCTCCCCGTAATGTGTGAGGTGGCCTTGAGGTGACCTCGGGGTGGCAGGAAGGTTTTTGTCCCCTCCCTGGGTGGTGCCACCTGTCTCTGTCCCCTCTGAGCTCTGTCCAAGGTGCGCGGTGACCTCGGGGTGGGGAGGGAGGTCCGGAGAGTCTCTGTCCCCTCTTCAGGAGGTGCCACCGTGTCATTGTCCCCTCAGGGCTCCCCATAAGGTGCACGATGGCCTCGGGGGTTGTGTCCCCTGTGCAGGCGGTGGCACCGTGTCCCTGTCCCCTCAGGTCTCCGCATAAAGTGTGGGATGGCCTCGAGGTGACCTCGGGGTGGTGGGAAGGTTTTTGTCCCCTCCCCATCAAATGCCACCCGTCTGTGTCCCTTCAGGTCTCCCCATAACGTGCGTGGTGGCCTTGGGGCATTGTGTCCCCTGTGCAAGCAGTGCCACCGTGTCGCTGTCCCCTCAGGGCTGTGACCAAGGTGCGAGGTGGCCTTGGGATCACCTCGGGGTGGCAGGAAGGGTTTTGTCACCTCCCCGGTGGGTGTCACCTGTCCCTGTCCCCTCAGAGCTCTGTCCAAGGTGCAAGGTGGCCTTGAGCTGGCCTCGGGGTGGCAGGAGGGCTTTTGTCCCCTCCCCGGGTGGTGCCACCCATTGCTGTCCCCTCTGGGCTCTGAGCAAGGTGCACGATGGCCTCGGGGGTGTTGTGTCCCCTCCCCGGCAGGTGCCACCTGTGGCTGTCCCCTCAGTGCTCCCTATAAAGTGTGCGATGGCCTTGAGGTGGCCTCGAGGTGGCGGGAGGGCTTCTGTCCCCTCTCTGGGAGGTGCCACCTGTTGCTGTCCCCTCAGTGCTCCCCATAAAGTGTGCAATGGCCTCGAGGTCACCTCAGGGTGGCGGGAAGGTTTTTGTCCCCTCCCCGGGTGGTGCCACCTGTCCCTGTCCCCTCAGAGCTCCCCATAAGGTGTGCACTGGCCTCGGGGCGTTGTGTCCCCTGTGCAGGCGGTGCCACCGTGTGGCTTTTCCTCAGGGCTCTGACCAAGGTGCGGGATGGCGTCGAGGTGGCCTCGGGGTGGCGGGAAGGTTTTTGTCCCCTCCCTGGCAGGTGCCACCCATCCCTGTCCCCTCAGAGCTCTGTCCAAGGTGCGCGGTGGCCTCGGGGGGTTGTGTCCCCTGTGCAAGCAGTGCCACCGTGTCCCTGTCCCCTCAGGGCTGTGACCAAGGTGTGAGGCGGCCTCGGGGCCACCTCCGGGTGGCGGGAAGGCTTTTGTCACCTCCCTGGGTGATGCCACCTGTTGGTCCCCTCAGTGCTCCCCATAAGGTTTGCGATGGCCTCGGGGTGGCAGGAGGGCTTTTGTCCCCTCCCTGGCAGGTGCCACCATGTCGCTGTTCCCTCAGGGCTCCCTTTCAAGTGTGCGATGACCTCGAGGTGGCCTCGGGGTGGCAGGAAGGTTTTTGTCCCCTCCCCAGTTGATGCCACTCGTCTGTGTCCCTTTAGGGCTCCCCATAAGGTGCGCGGTGGCCTCGCGGGGTTGTGTCCCCTGTGCAGGCGGTGGCACCGTGTCGCGGTGTCCCAGGGGCGTGGTGAGGGCGGTCCGGAGAGCCCTTGTCCCCTCACCAGGAGGTGCCACCGTGTCGCTGTCCCCGCAGGGCTGTCACCAAACCCCGGGGCGGGGTGGGGGCAGTCTGGAGAGTCTCTGTCCCCTCACCAGGAGGTGCCACCGTGTCGCTGTCCCTGCAGTGTCAGGGTTCCCCATTAGGTGCGCGGTGGCCTCGGGGCGTTGTGTCCCCTCGGCTGGCGGTGCCACCGTGTCGCTGTCCCCGCAGGGTTCTCGCGCAGCCCCGGGACGCCCCCGGCGCGGGGGTTCGGCCCCCCGGGCTCGGCCCCCCAGCCCGGCTTTGCCGGGGCCACCGGCGGCTTCGGCGGGGCCACCATGGCCGGCCTGGGCGTGCCCGGGTCCCCCCCGAGCTTCCTGAACGGCTCCACCGCCACCTCCCCCTACGCCAGTGAGTGACACACCTGGGGACACCCGTGGGGGTGGGGGACACGGGTTCAGGGGGGTCCCCAAAGCCATGTGACAGCCCTGGGGGGGTCCTGAAGTCACGGCCTCAGAGTCACTGTGTGGTCCCTGTGAGTCATGGGCCAGCCCTGTGGGGTCCCCAAAGCCGTGTGACAACACTGGAGTGTCCCCAAAGCCATCACTGAGAGCGGGAGAGGGAGTGGGGACATGGTCAGGTGAGGTGGGACAGCGCTGTCCTTGTCCCTGTCCCCATCCTGGCCCATCGTTGTCATTGTCCCTGTCTCTGCCTCTCTCCCTGTTCCTGTTCCCATCCCTGTGCCTGTCCCTGTCCCCTTCCCTGTCCTGTCCCCTTCCCTGTCCTGTTCCCATCTCGGGCCCCATCCTGGCCCTGTCCTTGTCCCTGTCTCTGCCTCGCTCCCTGTCCCCATCCCTGTCCCCACCCCCATCCCTGTCCCTGTCCCCATCCCTGTCCTTGTCCCCTTCTCTGCCCCCATCCTTGTCCCCATCCTGGCCCTGTCCTGTCCCCATTCCTGTCCTGTCCCTGTCCTCACCCTGTCCCCATCCTGTCCCTGTCTCTGCCTCTCTCCCTGTCCCCATCCCTGGCCCTATCCTGTCCCTGTCCCCATCCCTGTCCCCATCCCTGGCCCTATCCTGTCCCTGTCCCCATCCGTGTCCCCGTCCCACCCCCTCGCGGTGTCCCGTGTCCCCATCTGAGCCGTGTGTATGGCTTTCCCCTCAGTCCTGCCTGCCAGTCCCCCTCTGGGCTCCTCATCCGTCGCTGTCACCTCGGGCGGGGGCACTGCCACCTCTCCGGGTGGCTTCTCCTTCTCCCCGGTGACGATGATCTCGGCCGTGAAGCAGAAGAGCGCCTTCGCCCCCGTGCTGCGCCCGCCGGGGTCCCCCCCGCCCGCCTGCGCCAGCACCCTGCAAGGTCAGCCTGTTCCCAGGGCCACCAAGGCCACCGCGGTCCCTGGCACCCAGCCCTGGGTGGCTCCTGCCACATTGAGGGTCCCCAGTGTCACCACGCTGTTGGTGTCCTGTGCCTGGGTGTGGTTGGGGCTGCTCTGTGCCACCCGTGTCTCTCTCTGTCCCCAGTGTCCCCACTGTCCCTTGCACCCTGCTGGGTCTCTGGTCAGGGCTCTGCTCTGTGCCACCCCTGTCTCTCTCTGTCCCCAGTGTCCCCAGGGTCCCTGACACCCCTTCCCAGCCCCATGGAGTGTCCTTGGTGTCTACCGTGTCCTTGCACCTTTCTGGGTGTCTGGTCAGGGCTTTGCCCTGTGCCAGCCTTGTCCGTCTTTGTCCCCATTGTCCCCAAGGTCCTTGATATCTGTACCCTGCCCCATGGAGGGTCCCCAGTGTCACCACACTGCTGATGTCCTGTGCCTGTGTATGACTGGGGCTGCCCTGTGCCACCCTTGTCCCTCTCTGTCCCCAATGTCCCCAGGTGGTCCTTACCCCATGGAGGGTCCCTGGTGTCACCATGTCCCTTGCACCTTTCTGGGTCTCTGGTCAGGATTCTGCTCTGTGCCACCCTTGTCCCTGTCCACCTGTGTCCCCACTGTCCCCAGGGTCCCTGACATCTGTCCCCAGCCCCAGGGAGGGTCCCCAGTATCACCGTGCCCCTTGCACCATTCTGGGTCTCTGGTCAGGGCTCTGCTCTGTGCCACCCTTGTCCCTCTCTGTCCCCATTGTCCCCAGGGTCCCTGACATCTGTCCCCAGCCCCATGGAGGGTCCTTGGTGTCACCACACTGCTGATGTCCTGTACATGGGCATAGTTGGGGCTGCCCTGTGCCGCCTGTGTCCCCAGGGTCCCTGACATCTGTCCCCAGCCCCATGGAGGGTCCCCAATATCACCACACTGCTGATGTCCTATGCCTGGGCATGGCTGGGACTGCCCTGTGCCACCCTTGTCCCTCTCTGTCCCCAGCATCCCCAAGGTCCCTGACACGTGCCCCTGGGTGGCCCTGTCCCACAGAGTGACCTCGGGGTCACTGTAATCCTTGGACCTGCTCAATGTCCCTCCCATGAGCGTGGCTGGAGCTGCCCTGTTCCACCCTGGGGCCTGTCCCCCCGTGTCCCCAGTGTCCCCAAGGTCCCCTGTGTCCCCAACACCCACCCCAAGTCCCCCTGCTCAATGGAGGGTCCTTGATGTCCCTGCCCATGTGATGCCCACGCCTAGGATTGTCCCATGCCACCTGCATCCCTGTCCCCAAGGTCCCGCTGTGTCCCCAAGGTCCCCAGTGTCCCCAACACCCACCCCGAGTCCCCCTACCCCACAGAGAGTCCCCAGTGTCACCGCACTTCCTTCCTGGTGTCCCTGTCCATGTGACACCCATACTTGGGGTTGTCCAATGCCACCCGTGTCCCTGTCCCACTGTGTCCCCAAGGTCCCCAGTGTCCTCAACACCCACCCTGAGTCCCCCTGCCTCACGGAGGGTCCCCGATGTCACTGCACTCCCTTCCTGATGTCCCTGCCCTGTGCCACCCGCATCCCTGTCCCGCTCTGTCTCTCCAGTGTCCCCAATGTCCCCCGGCTGACGCTGTCCCCACCCTGTCCAGACCCAGCTTTCGAGGACTCGGACAAATTCCACGCTCCGGCGCGGCCGCTCCAGGGATTGGCCTATTCCTAAGGATGGCGTCTCCGGAGGGGCTCCGGATCCCCCATCCCGCCGGGACAAGGACTGGGAACATCCCTGTCCCCTCCCCTTGGAGCTGGGCGGAGCCGCCAGGCCCAGAGGGATGAGGGGACCCGGCCCCCCGATGTCCCCACCCCGGGTGGCCCCGGCCTGCCCCAGCTGAGAGGGGACTTGGGGAAATCCTGGAATGAGCCAAAATTCCTGGGTTTGGCCTCGGGAAGAGGCGGAGAGAGCTGAGAATGGGGCAGAGGAGGGAGAGGGGTGGAGGCGCCGGGATGGGCGGGAGGGGTGGTCCAGAATGGGAAGGATGATCCAGAAAAGGATGGATGATCCAAAGTGGGATGGAAGCTCTGGAAAAGGATGAATGATCCAAGGTGGGATGGATGCTCTGGGTTGAGATGGACACTCCAGGATGGGATGGAAGCTCCAGGTCGGGATGGATGTTCTAAGGTGGGATGAATCATCCAAGGTGGGATGGATGCTTCAGGTGGAATGGATGATCCAGGATGGGATGGATGCTCTGGAATGAGATGGGTGTTCCAAGGTAGGACGGATGTTCCGAGGTGGGATGGATCATCCAAGGTGGGATGGATGCTCTCAGATGAGATGGACACTCCGGGATGGGATGGAAGCTCTGGAAAGGGATGGATGTTCCAAGGTGGGATGGATGTTCCAAGGTAGGATGGAAGCTCTGGAAAAGGATGGATGATCCAAGGTAAGATGGAAGCTCCAGGATGGGTTGGATGATCCAAGGTAGGATGGATGATCCTGGTGGGATGGAAGCTCCAGGTCAGGATGGATCATCCAAGGTGGGATGGATGCTTCAGGTGGGATGGATGTTCCAATGGGGAATGGATGCTCTGGAAAAGGATGGATGATCCAAGGTGGGATGGATTCTCTGTGTTGAGATGGATGCTCCAGGTTGGGATGCATGATCCAAGGCAGGATGGATGATCCAGGTGGGATGGATGTTCCAACATAGGATGGATACTCCAGAAAAGGATGCTCCAGGTGGGATGGAAGCTTAAGGATGGGTTGGATGTTCCAAGGTGGGATGGATGATCCAAAGTGAGGTGGATGATCCAGGATGGGATGGATACCCCAGGATGGAAGGGATGTTCCAGGTGGGATGGATGATCCTAGTGGAATAGATGTTCTAATGATGGGTGGATGCTCCAGAAAAGGATAATCCAAGGTGGGATGGATGCTTCAGGTTTGAAGGGATGTTCTAGGTGGGATGGAAAGTCCAAGGTGGGATGGAAGCTCTGGAAAAAGATGGATGATCCAAAGTGGGATGGATGCCCTGGAATAGGGTGGATATTGAGGATTAGAGGGATGATCCAAGAGAAGATGGATGCTCCTGGGCAGGGGGGATGGTCTGGAGTGGGATGGATGGATGGATGGATGGATGGATGGATGGATGGATGGATGGATGGATCCTCCAAGCCAGGAGGGCTGATGTGGGACAGGATGGACGCTCCCAGGACAGATGGATGCTCCAAGGTGGGATGGATGCTCCGGGTGGGAATATCCTGGATCCCCCAGGACGGGATGGATGCTCCGGTGGGACCTGGCTCCTCCTGCCTTTCCCTGCTCTCTCCCCACTCCAATCCAGAGCCTCACCCACAATTCCAGAATCCGATCCTGGATCTCTGCCTGTCCAGGATCAGGATCCTGATGCCACCTGGGGCATGGGGACACCGCTGTCCCCTGCCATTAATTATTGCCATTACTATCGATATTAATTACCAGAACTGTTTTGACCACGGGGAGGGGGGAGGTCCCTGGGTGTCGGTGTCCCCTCCCCCAGCCGGGAATTTTGTACATAAAACGGGAAGGATTCCCAACATTCCCCCTTTATCCCCGCTCGGGGGTGGCTCGTGTCCCTCCCCTCCGTGTCTGTCCCCTCTCGGTGTCACCGCGTGTCCCCCCCACGCCGGGCTGGGGGGGTGACCCTTGGGGACAATGTTCCCCCCACTCGCGGAGGTGGCGCAGGGCATGGCCGGGGGCCCGAATGGGAATTAAAGACCTCGTGGAAAAGCTGCGACTCCCGGGATTTGTCACCCTCCGGGATGGTGACACCGGTGTCACCCCGCTGTCCCCACCCCTTGGGGACGCGGCGGGGATGTCCCCACGCCCGGCCCCGGCTCATTCCCAGCGCTGGAATCCCGGGAATGCTGCAGGCCCCAGCCCCCCAGGCCAGCCCCGGTCCCCTCCAGCTGCGGTGTCACCTCTTGTCACCTCCCCCCGCCCCCGCGCGCCGGGATGAGCGCAGGAGGAGCTGGAATTAATTGCGTTAATCAAGAAAGGTTAATGAGGAGGCGGCGGTGCCAGCGCGGGGAGCGGGGGGGGGGGGGGGGGTGGCACAGCTGGCACCGGCACGGGGATGGCGACACCGGGCGGGGACACCGAGCGGCGACACGGGGCTGGGAACACCACGTGACCCCCATGGGGACAGCTAGGGACCCCCGTGGGGACGGGGGTGACACCGTGACCAGCCTGGGGTGGTGGCACCGTGAGTGAGCACGTGTGGCAGGGGTGGTGGGGACAGTCATGGGTGTTGGGGGCACATGCAGGTGTTGGGGACAGTCACAGGTGATGGGGACATGCACAGGTGTTGCGGACAGGCACGTGGCACAGGTTGGGGACAGTCACAGGTGTTGGGGACAGTCACAGGTGTTGGGGACAGGCACGTGGTACAGGTGGTGGGGACACACAGAGGTGATGGGGACAGGCAGGTGGCACATGCCATGGGGACACTCTCAGGTGTTGGGGACATGCACAGGTGGTAGAGACACACGTGGCACTTCCCATGGAGACAGTGACAGGTGGTGAGTTCATGCACAGGTGTTGAGGACTTGATGTGGGGACAGTCACCGATGGTGGAGACACACACAAATGTTGGAGACAGTCACAGGTGGTGGGGACAGGCATGTGGCACATGCCATGGTGACACTCCCAGGTGTTGGGACATGCATAGGTGGTGGGGACACACACAGGTATTGGGGACACATAGATGGCACACAGGGACATGTAGCACATGCTGTGGGGACACTCACAGGTGTTGGGGACACGCACAGGTGTTCGGGACACACGTGTGGCACTTCCCATGGGGGCATTGACAGGCGGTGAGTTCATGCACAGGTGTTGGGGACATGAGATGGGGACAGGCACATGGCACAGGTGGCTCGGACACATTCAGGTGTTGGGGACACACAAGTGGCCCATGCCATGGGGACACTCCCAGGTGTTGGGGACATGCACAAATGGTGGGGACATGTGGTGGGGACACTCATATGGCACAGGTGGTGGGGACACACAGAGGTGATGGGGACAGGCAGGTGGCACATGCCATGGGGACAGTGACAGGTGGTGAGTTCATGCACAGGTGTTGGGAACATGAGATGGGGACAGGTGATGGTGGCACAGGTGGTGAGGACACACAGATGGCACACGGGGACACACATGTGGTACTGTGGGGACACTTCCAGGTGGTGGGGACACATATGGCACTTGTCATGGGGACACTCAGGTGGTGGGAACCTGCCTGGGTGTTGGGGACACATGTGTGACATGCTGCAGGGACACACAGGGGTTGGGGACACTCACAGGTGTGACACATGTGACACGCTGGGGACACGCTCAGGTGTCGGGGACATGCACATGTTGTGGGGACACACAGGTGGCAGGGACGTGGTGGGGACATGCACAGGTGTTGGGGACATACGTGGCACTCGCTGTGGGGTTGTGCAGAGGTGTTGGGGACACATGTGGAACATGTTGGGGACACACATGTAGCACTTCCCTTGGGGACATTGGCAGGTGGTGAGTTCACGCCCAGGTGTTGGGGACACACATGTGACACACTGTGGGGACAGTCACAGGTGCTGGGGACATGCATATGACACAGGGGTTTGGGGACATGCAGTGGGGACATGCATGTGGCACAGATATGGGGATACGTACGTGGCACTGGTTATGGGGACAATCCTGTGGTGGCACCAGTTGTGGGGACACTCACAAGGGCTGGGGACACTCACGTGGCACAGGGGCTGGGGACATGCACCTGTGGCCCCTCCCATTCCCATGGGTGCCCTCGGCTTTGATCTCTCCCAAATCCCGAATTTCCCCCAAATCCCAAATTTCCCCTAAATCCCGAATTTCCCCCAAATCCCCAGGTCCCAATCCTGGCTCTGCAGGGTTTGAGGTCGCAGCTGATCCTGGGATTTGGGGCTGGGAAAAATGGGAAGGGACAAAGCCAAGAGGGAAAACTGGAATGGGATAAACCCAAAGAGGGAAAAGTGGCAATGGGATAAACACAAAGAGGGGAAAGCAGGAATGAGGGGATGGGACTGGGGGGGAGTATCAGGGAAAAGGGGGATCCCAGATTCTGGATCCTATCCTGGTTTGGGGCAGGATCGGGGATCCCAGACTCCAGATCCCATCCTGGTTTGAAGTGGGACTGGAGATCCCAGATCCCATCCCGGTTTGGGGCAGGATCAGGGATCTCACATTCCATCCCAGTTTGGGGTGAGACTGGGGATCCCGGATCCCATTCTGGTTTGGATTGAGATCAGGGATTCCAGATCCCAGATCCCATCCTGGTTTTGGCAGGATCAGAGATTCCAGATCCCATCCCGGTTTAGGGTGAGATTGGGGATCCTAGATCCCGAATTCTGGATCCCATCCTGGTTTGGGGTGAGACTGGGGATCCCAGATCCCATCCCGGTTTGGGGCAGAATCGGGGATCCCAGGCCCCAGTCCTGGTTTGGGGTGGGATTTGGGATCCCAGATCCTGGATCCTATCCCAGTTTGGGGTGGGATTGGGGATCCCAGACCCCATATCCCATCCCATTTTGGGCCGGGATCAGGGATCCCAGACTCCAGATCCCAGATCCCATCCCATTTTGGAGTGAGATCAGGGATCCCAGATCCCAACTCAGTTTGGGGCGGGATTTGGGATCCTAGATCCTGGATCCCATCCCGATTTGGGGTGAGATCAGGGATCCCAGATCCCAACCCCATCCCAGTTTGGGGCAGGACTGGGGATCCCAGATTCTGGATCTCAATTCCATCCTGGTTTGGGGTGAGATTGAGGACTCCAGGTGCCAATCCCATCCCAGTTTGGGGCGGGATCTCCCGGGGCTGCTTTCTGGGAAAGGCCGGGGCTGGAAAGAATTCCCAAAAATAGCCGGGGGCGGGGCCAGTCCCAGCTGTTCCCGCTGGGAATGCGAATCCCATAACGGGAGTGGGGACCCCAAAATCCCCCTGGGGATACAAAAAGGGAAGTGGGAACCCCAAATTCCCATTTCAGGGAAAACTGGGGAGGTGGGGATCCCAAAATTCCCTCCTTAGGCATAAGGGGGGGTTGAGGACCCCAAAATCCTTCCCTGTGTCCCCAAAGTGGGGGGGGAGACCCAAAAATTCCCTCCTTGGGGATAATGGGGGAGTGAGGACCCCAAAATTTCCCCCCTTTGGGACAATGGGAAAGTGGGGACCCCAAAATTCCCTCCTGGGGACAATTTAGGACAAAGTAGGGACCCCAAAATCCCCCTGATGTCCCCAAAGGAAGGGTGGGGACCCAAAAATTCCCTCCTTGGTGACAGTGAGGGGGTGGGGACCCCAAAATTCCCTCTTGGGGAAATGGAGGGGGTGGGGACCCCAAAATCCCTCCCGATGGCCCCAAAGAGAGGGTGGGGACCCCAAAATTCCCTCTTGGGGACAATTTAGGGCTATAGGGGTCCCAAAATCCCTCTCGATGTTCCCAAAGGGGGGTGGGGACCCCAAAATTCCAGCCTTGGGGACAATGGGAAAGTAGGGACCCCAAAATTCCCTCTTGGAGTCACTGAGGGAGTGGGCACCGCAAAATCACTCCCAGTGTCCCCAAAGGGGGAGGGGGAACCCCAAAATTTCTGCCTTTGGGGCAGTGGGAAAGTGGGGACCTCAAAATTCCCTTTTTGGGACAATTTGTGGCTGCTTTGTCCCCAAAACCCCCGCGATGTCCCCAAGGGGGGGGGGGTGGCGCCGCAGCCCCGCCCTTCCCCCACCCCCGGGGCCGGGTCCCTTTAAGGGGGCGGAGCTTTGGAGGGGGGAGGGGGGGGATCCCGGGAATTTTTTTTTTTTTTTTTGGAAGCGGGGGGATGCAGAGGGGTGGGGGAGGGGACGATGCTCCGCGTCTTCGTCCTGCGGGCCGAAAATGTCCTCACAGGCGACAGCGACATCAGCGACACCTACTGCTCCTCCACGTTCCAAGGTGGGGAAAGAAACCCCTCGGGATTTGGGGTGGATTTGGGGGATCTTGGGGGGAATTTTGGGGGGAGGTTCGGCCACGCCCTGCTGGGTCCTAAATGGGATGAGGTTGGAAGAGCCGCGGGTGCCCCCCTGTCCCCGTTGTCGCCGCCACCTCTTTGGTGTCCCCTCCCCGTTCCGAAATGTGAAGATCCAGAGGGGAAAAAAGTCGGGATTTTGGGATTTTTTGGGGGGATTTTGGCGGCCCTCAATGTTGGGATGGGGCTGGAAGCGCTGCCAGTCCCCCCTGTCCCCGTTGTCACTGCCACCCCTTTGGTGTCCCCTCCCCGTTCCAGCGTCAGAAACTCTGGGGGGGGGGGGGCGGTGGGGGGAATCGGGATTTAGGGGAATTTTGGGGTTTTTTTGGGATAAATGTGAGGGAATTTTGGCCCGAGAAGTCGGGATGGGGTTGGAAGAGCCGCGGGTCCGCGCTGTCCCCTCTGTGGTGTCGCCACCCCGCTGGTGACACTTGGGGACCCCCCTAAAGCCACCCCCGGTC